TAATGGGAGATCGGGAACACACGCAGAAAAGGCTTTTTGCCATTTGTTTTACAGCAGGATTGCAGCAAGGTTTTATTTTCTGACCGGCTCATTGTAGCAATTTGCACAGAACGCTGAAATGATAGAATAATTAAAATTTTGGATTGATGTTTCTTTGTAGAAAACCACGTTAGTCAAGAAAAATCACCTAAGTAAAGTTACTTAGTATTTATTAACTACATGTGATCCCCTGTGCCTTTCGTAAGGCGTTCACCAAGCATCCTTTGCCGGTGCTGTAGAGCAGATTTGTCCTATTAAAGCCGTTACCTCCATCGTCGAACCTGAAGTGCTGCAATTTAGAGCATTAACTCAGCACAGCCACGCCAACCAAAACCAGCCCTAATCACCATCACAGCTGGGAGCCGGAGGAACGCGGCTCCCGTCCCACCCGGGGAGGTTACACAAGTCTGCACACAAACCTTGTTCAAGGATCATTTCTCCTAAATAGAAACATTTGTCTGTTTTAAAACTCTTCCTGTGTCCTCAGTCATAAAAGAGGGAGCCGAGGGGAAAAACGTCAAACGATCAAAATACCCGACTGGCCCTACAGAAGTTGTCTCAGCTCAGTGAGGGTCTCAAATTTACTAACAAAGCTTGGTTTCGTGCAGAATACAGTATGTAGGTGTGGATAAAAATCAAAAATTATCTGAAGAGGCACGAAACCTACTCAATTAATTTTCTTGTTTGCGTTTATCCAAAATTAGCTTGATCATCAGTCATGCAGTGGCCTGGCACGCTCTCCATCTTGCAGAAAACACTGTATTGGAAACTCAAGCAACCGCAAATCGCCTTGTTGAATTAAGAAGGGCTGCCTTGCTAGTACTGTAATAAACTCGATACGTTTCTGTTGCAGCTACATTAAGTCCTAGTTACACAGAAATCCCTTGCCTTCAGATTCTTACAAATCTGTATGCCAAACATGCTGCTTTTGAAAGAGAATGCAGATCACCTGTTCCGTCAAAATGAGCTCTTCTGGTCATAGCTGCACCATACTAAAATGCAGTAATCCCATTATTTACCTAGATGTATACTTTGAAATAAAATAAATTCAAAAGAAAAAAAAATACCACAAAGCTTAAGATTCTTTGCAGATCCACCCTTCTGCCTCCACATCGACACACACCACAACAGCCTGGCGAAGGCTACTATTTACTGCTAAAATAGGGGAGCAAAGACATGAGGAAATCAGGGGAAGAAAAAAAATAATAAAAAAAAAAACAGAGAAAGAGCACACCATATAGAAAATGTCAAATATGTCAAAACAGTCATGAATACCAACATCTCCCTCTGCACCACAACCAGCTGTAAAGGTTACTTAGGGCTAACGCTTCAGCAAGTGCAGATTATGCAGCACCGAGTTTACTTATACATAAAAAATCAGCTACAGGTGCATCCAAAGTGCTTTTATGTATGCAGCCGGTACGGGCATTTCTGCCGCTACAGAAAAGTCAGGAGGGTAAAATCACATAAAACACGCATTTTCTAGCTTTGACTACCCTAGACATAAATTCCTCCTGGCTGCTCTCTATGTATGTGACATATGCAATGAGGATAATTAGGTAAAGGACTAAGAAAGCAAGTGTTGCTGATTGCATTCCAAAACTAATAAAGCTCCTACATGAGTCTTGTGCCTGCAGTAATTCATCTTCTCCAGCCCCACGTTCGGGAAAGGCGGCTCCAGAACACGGCGCGACACTTTCTTGTCCCTAAGTCACCAGTTGTGAATTATATCAGAATTACTGCAGACAGGCACAGTTTTATGGAACTCGAAGCACAGCACATGCGAGGCGTAACATTACGTTATGCAGGCCCTCAGACAAATGAAGCGTAAATTAAATGTCACAAGTTGACTACGATGCGCTGTATAGGCAAACACCTGACCTGAATTCACCCCATTTGTTTGTCAAGTTTGTACACCCTAGCACGTTTTGGAAAAATATGTCTTGGTGCAAATCTTCTCATCCTTCCATGTGAGGAAGAGGAAGGTGTCCTGCTCTGGAAAGGAACAATGAGACAGCCCACATCGTAATCATGTGGGCTTCGCTGGAAAGAGAAATGTGACTTTTTTAGATAAATTCGGTAGATAAGCTCCATTCTTATGCACCAGTGCATCGAAGGAGTAATTCTGTAGAAGACTGTGCGATTGTAGGAGCAAAAAAGTTAGGTTCACATCAGCCCAGCGGCCTGATAACGAACTACAAAAAGAAAAAAAAAATTGAAATCCTGCGGGAACAAAACAGGACGGGTTTTCTCTGCCTTCCTGCACCAACCAAGCAGAAAAAGCAGTAACAAATTCCATAATCAGCACAGAGCGAAAATAATTAAGACAGTTACTAATCTGAAACATTGTGAGCCTGCAGAAGGAAAAACCTTTTAATAAATCCTCCCATCGACACCACCGTTTAAAAAACCTCTTCCTTCAGCTCCATATTCTGCGCTGAGCTTCTGCTCCAAACATTTTCCTAAATGCCCCTACGCCGCGCTTGCTTCTTTATGTATTTCTTTCCTTCATTCTTTCCTCTGGGTCTGCAGAGGGGAGGAAGCCTGCAGACTGCTTTCTCGAGAAGGATTTTGCCCTGCTTGCTCAGGGCAAATCCTTTTAAGATGAGAAAGCCCCTGAACACCTGGAAACGTTACCTGCCGCCAACCCCGAAACCCCCTAGCCCGACCCCTCGCCTCGGTACCGCTGCCGGAGGGGAGAGAAAAGCCTGGAAATCTGCAAAAACCCGGAGAAAAAGCCCAACCAAGAGTGACACGGCTGCCTCGGGCGGAAAACTTATGCTTTCCCCCCCAGCCCCTCCAGGCGTAGAGGATTAAGCGCGTTAGCAAAAGTTATCCCGGCAGGACGCGAAGGGAAAAGGCGGGTTTTTTGGGAGTATCTTCGGGAGAGAAAAAAAAGCGAGGACGGGTGGAGGTTTCACGGAAGGGTTAAAGTCACAACGACTTCAGGCCGGTGCCTGGGGCGATCCCCAGCTCTGGATCTCGCTCAGCATCACTTAAGCACCGTCTAACTCTTGGCTCTGTTAATTGACCGCAACGAGCCCGGGGATGAGACCGCCACCGGGCGAGCATCCCCGGGCTCGTTGCAGGCATCCCATCCCCGGGAATTTAATTTTTTCCTCTCTGACACAAGAGGGTGAAGTTTTCTAAACCCCCGGAGTTTCGTTTCCTCCATCTCCGTCCGGCCGAGCCCCTCCTCTTTTGCCAGCGGGAGCCGGCAAAACCGGATTCAAAGGAGAAAATTTAAAGAAAAAACAAACAAAAAGCCACACATAAAAAAAAATTTAAATAAGCAAACACGATCTCTGGAGCCGCGGGACAAGGTTTAGGATTTAGCCCCCTCCCCTGCCCAAGCAAAGGCTTTCGCGGGAGCAGGGAGGGATGGATGGATGGAGAGAGGTCGGGATGCTGCAGAGCCCCGCCACGGGGGAAAAACTGGGAAAGGACCAACCTTTCAGCCTCAGGTTTTCCTCCTCTTCCTCCCGCGGAGCCGGCGAGTCCTGCCGCTCCCGTCAGTGACGGGGAATTGCCCCATCCACGCGGTTTTATTACTACATATATTGTCCTATTGTCCTCTATAGGCAAAGGATGCCGGTGGTGATGCTTCTCGCTTGGACAGAAAGAAGACGAGATGCCATTCGTTTACATGTTTTATTGTTGTAAACATTAAAATTGTCTTTCTCAAAGAAAGAGTTATAGGGAGGGAAGGGGGAAGAAAAAAATAAATCAGCGTTTCTAACTGTCGTACACCATAGAAAAAAAAAACAGGCAGTGACTCGTATCATGTGCCATACTGGGAATATACAAAGAAAAATACTACAGAATATGGCAATATTAAAAATATTACTCAAACATAAAATAATATATTAACCGACAATTTTGGACATTAAAAAAAATGGAACAAAACAAACCAAAAATTCAAAGTGCTCAGTAATTTCCAGGGAGTTATGTATAGTATAAGCACTCTGGAAACAGTCAAAAGCTGCTGCATGCAAGATTTGTTTAGCTTTAGACAACAAAATAATCAAGATATAAACTTCTTTTTTTAATCAACATCAACAGTACATACAACACTTACAAACAAGGAATGTCGGACGGTGTTTACAAACACTATGTGTCCCTTTGGGGAGGATTTCGGGTTCTGTAATACTTGTGCCCACCTATTTTACAATTGAGAAAATGTTTGAAGCTTAGATAACTACCAGTCTTTATAAAAGCTAACAGACTACATAGTGTCTGAAATACTATTTATAGAATATAGACATTACTGCAATAGCAAGTGCCTATAACATTGTCACCCTAGAATCGTCATGCTTTCCTGGTACCGAGACATTTATTTGTCTTCCTCTTTATTCTCCTTTCTTTTTTTTTTTCTTTTTCTTTTTTTTCCTTTTTTTTTTGCAAACACGTTTACCTTTCTTTTTAAATTTACTTTTAGAATCATTTTTTTTTCTGTATTTTCTTCATAAATAGGCACAGAATAATTTTTTAAAAAGCCAAACTGCGTCTGATAAATTTACAAGCCTTTGCCTTCTGTAATGACATGCCACTCACGCAACATTTAGGTTTCATATATATTACAGCTTTCCTTTACAGCAGAAAACTTCTAGTCTTTAGGAGGGTGAGACTTGTGGGTCACCTCAATGCTTTTGTTTGTCACTGCGTGAGACTTAGCCGCGCACCCGACGTTGCCGGATACTTTTGCCTTTTTTAATCAGGAGTCCTTAATAATAAATTCATTTATAAGCTGATAATAAAAAGTTTATACCATGGTGTTTGTGTAGTCCATGATCTGCATCCAGGATGCCCCAGAGCCAAAATGCCCATTCACGTTCTGCCTGCAGGACACTGGTTTGGGTGGGGGAGCTGGCACCCACAGGTGCTGCTTTGGGCCCAGCCGAATTCCACCCTCAGACAGGTGCAGTTTCTCTTCGGGTCAGTGGAAGTGCATGGGAAGAGTCTTAAAAAGGTAAAGTGTCCAGAAAAAGTTTGTCGATTATTGCTGGCGGCGGCACCAAATCCTCCAGTTTCAGGTAGAAAATGCGTTGCAGCCCCTGCGTGCAAAGCGTGCGGAGTTCGGGGAGCTTCCCCAAGAGTTTGGACAAGTAGTTTGGGCGATTCAGCCCCCCGTTATTAAAAGTCACATGGTCTTTGAGACAATTTACAATCTTGTTTTGAAGTTCTTCCACCCTCTTGGGTTCTTTAAGCCCATGCCTCTCTGCAAAAGAGAAGGGTGCAAGGGGTTACAGGTCTGGCACAGAGAGAAGGGAGAGCCGGAAGGAAAAGGACAATGGGGGGCACACTGACCTGTCACCATAGCCAGGGCAGCGATGCAAGAAAAGGCAGAGATATCGATGTTCATGTTTTGCAAGTTGGAGGAAAATTCAACAATGGAATCGATCCACTCCCCAAAGCCGCGGACGCACTGCAACCGGTGCAGGACCACCCCGTTGCAGAAGATAAGCTTGCCCTCCACGGGGTTTGACCTGGAAGGAATGCGACAACCCCAAAATGAATGAATGAGGAAGAAACGAAAAATGAGGTGGGAAGAGGAAAAGAAGGAAAAGAAAAAGAGAGGAAGACGAGAGTGATGGAAGGATAGAAAGAGGTAAGGAAAGGAGGAGAGAAGAAGAGAAGTGGAGAGAAGGAAAGAAGGAAAGGAGGAGAGAAGGAGAGAAGTGGAGAGAAGGAAAGAAGGAAAGAAGGAAAGAAGGA